CCCAGGCATAGAAAATCGATGAAAGCATTGAAAAAGGCTATCAAGTCTATGAAGGTTCAAATGTGGCAAATCCATCGTTTCTGATGGGTTGGAAGTGCTATTGTAAACATTTCTATGAATCTTCTACGGCTTTCAGCTTGCTTCTCAGGATGCTTGGGTGCCTCGTTTGCGCCCATAGGTGGGGCAACGGTGCTGGTTGTCTGCCTGGGTCACTTCCTGCGCAAGGTCCCGCTGTGATACATGTTGCTATCCTACAGACAGTGGTGCGCAACTCCGCTCAGCCGCGTTCATCGAGTGGAGCCCCTGTCAGGAGTCTTTGGAGAAGTCCCAGCAGACAACACAATAGAAGGCTACCAGAAATTGGCATTCATGCTGTCAAGGTCTGCCCAACAGACAGGCCAGAGAAGGCTCCCAGCAGACAGGCCGATGGTTCTCTGGCCAGCAGACAACCACCACCTTTGGCGATGGCCAGGAAGGTTGAACGCTTGCTTCTCTATTCTTGAGAACAAACATCACACTCCTCTGGTCAAACAGGGCACACGCTCCTATATTATGGTGACGTCAACCCCACCTGATTTATAGGAAGATACTGGAGGGGGATCTTATCTGAGCAGTATTGGGGTGAAACCGAACCCACAAACATGTCGCTAAAATTGTACCTTCCGAAGTGGGAGCGGTGTGAAGAGATGGAGAGAGTCAGCCCCACCTTCTGAGGTAGTTGGAGTAGGGCAACTTGGTGAGAAAATTGGATAAACAATGGATATGTTAGAAAGCTAAAAAGTCAAATGCATGCAATATGACCTACGTCCGCTTTGGAAGACGACTTTCCTCTACAACCGACCTGGTTTTCAGGTTCGTGGGTCTCCTCCAGGGTGGATGGACCCCTCATCTTCCTCTAACCGAGACTCTCTCACCGAACTGGGGGCGGACCGATCCAGCTGGCGCGGAACCGGGTGCAGTGCAGTGCAGGCGGACCGGATCCAGAAGGCGATTTCCCCCGATTTCTGGGTCAATCCGACATACACATCATTCACATCATCCGGTAGAAGAACATGACTTCTGGGTCAATCATCCTGGTCCGGTAGAAGATTTGGTCTTCAACCATGGTGCGATCGAATTGAACGAACGGGGCCGTGGCTGTGGTCGGTCTAAGGCCCTTCACCGAAGGCCGATCTGCTGCGGGAGGAGTGCCTTTTGCGTCCCTCGTGCCACGAAAGACGAACATGAGTTCGCTTCCTCCCAAAGGTGACCCTGCACATCTCCTGCAATGAACAGAACAAGACCTGAAACCCCATTTCCCATCATTTGGCTATGGCTATGGCTCCAAATTTGGTGCTACATGCAACTCCTCTATGTATGGATATGCTATGTACCCCATGGAAGCAACTGCAACATCAACAAATACTTGGACCCTCAAGTTACCGCGCCCAGTTCACCTGTCCAATGCCCTCCGTGCCGCGAAACACCACCCTCTCCCAATCCCTCCTGCACACCGGCCACATCATTGTAGAGCGAACGGACTCGACCCCCAAAGGCCGCCTTGGTCGGCCGCGACCGAGGGTGGACTGGCTTCACACTTCAGCCGATGGCGCACGAGGCACGGCAGTGGAAGAGATTGAAGACTCTTTGTGAGTCTCTTCTGAGTGCCCTGAAGAAGCTCAAGAGTGACAAGATCTCCCAAGACTAAGACCAACTTCAATGTGTGAGCCGCGGACAGAACCGTCCAGCATCCTCCATGAACACCAAACAATCATGTGGTGGTCCCTCCAGGGTGTGCTTTTCTACAACGCGTCCGTCCTGCTCTCTCGGTCCTTTCTTCAGAAACTGTCAAGCCACACCAGGTCAGCAACTTGAGCTAAAGCCTCAGTAATTGACACCTATATAATGCCTACAGTATATACCAGCGGCGGACGTGTTCAAGACTGATTTTCGGTGATTGAGAAGCTCCTGCACTGCATCAGATGTCCAACACACTGAACATGCCTGAAGCACAAGTCATGGAGGCACTGGTCAGTGCAAAGTTGGTCCCACTGCATCAAGCCTCAAGCCGCAGTTTCCTAATTCAAAGAAGTGGTTCTTCACATCGATTAAGCCTTCTTCAACCCTTTTCACGACGAAACCAGGGGCCGCTCCCTTGGACCATGACACAGCTTCCGCCAAGGGTGGATGATCATTTCTTACGAATCCACTGGACCTCCAACTGGACCTCTCCACCCCGACCGATTCCTCCATTCCGGCGCTCCCGCGCAGGACCAGACTAGACCAGTCGGGCCGCCCCAGTGAAGAGGCCGCTCAGGAGGTCCATCAGCAGGGCGATGGCGGCGCCCTTGGCGCCGCCAAAGGGCAGGGTGACGCCGTGGAAGGCCTCAGGGTGTCGATCATGACGCCTCGATAGTACTTGGTGGAGGTGGAGGTGGGTGGTCTTTGATGTTCTGTGGGGGGGGACGTGGGTGTGGGGTGAGAAGCGCAGGGGAAGACTAAACATGAACATCTAAGAGTGCTATTGAAGTGGATCAGAAACACAAGAATGACATTGAGTCAAGTGTTTTATCATGAGATTCCTGATTCTTTGCACTTGAAGTCAGAATATACGGCAAACACCTCATTCATCTTTCTGAGTTCTCTTTCTACGGCATTGAGGCTGGCTGACGCTGCCTGGCGCCGTATATAGGGGGAGCCAAATTCAAGACCATCCCTCCCGGGTGGCCTCCATGCCATCTCGTGTGGGCCGGCCTGCGGTGTTTTGCCACGCCACACGTGGCAGAAGGAGGAGGAGAAAATGAAACCGCGCCGTGCATCCTGAAATGTGGTCAAATCCCAAGAGATCCATGTTACTCATCGCTCAATTGATCTTAATTGTGGTTGCCGGAGTGTAGTCGGAACAAATGATGAAACTACATGCAGTAAGAGAAAGTTGCGAACCCCACGAGAAGCCCGCCGAGCAGACCGAGATCGGCGCCTTCCGGCGCGCACCGCGCCTTGCTGGTCCAAACCCACCTCGGGCGGGATGGGCTCTCCACGCTGTGCCATCAAGCGCAGCTTTCCCCGGGCGATCACCGTAGTGGACCTCGGAGCGGTCAGACAGCCGCCACAGGGGCGAGCGAAGGAAGCTTGGTGCACCGTTTTTCAAGAAGTAAGCTGACTAGAGGATCTGTATGATGTCATAGACTTGGAAGTGTATGTCACCTAAGGTGCGTGGCTGAGGTTTTCGTTTGTTTTGATCTAGGGGGCCGTCAGAAGAATAGAGGACATCATCTCAAAGGTGGGAGGTGTTCAAAGTTTGGGGTACTGACTTGGAACCTCATGATGGTCAAGAGTCAAACATCTTTTGCCCAGCCAAAATAAAGATCCTGGATTTGGCTCAGGAGTGACTGACCATGTGGCCTTTGTTCACTATCGATCGCCGCCTTCAAGTCTGCCTTTCCGCAATAAAAGGTGTGCTCCTGAGAGCCCCAACCAATGGGTACGAGTAGACTAGTCTGGTTCTTTCTTCCAGGGGGGGGTCGTTGCCTATAGGAGGTCTCCCTAAGACTGAGCTTACACACCGGATGATATGACTCCCATCTGACTCCCATCCGATCACTTCAGGTCACATGTCTAGGACCAGCGGATGAGCCAAGTTGGCCGGCGCGCCAGCAGCAAAAGGGCTGGCGCCCAACAAAGCGCGGGCCCCTGCGCTGGTACCCACATCCGATCGCGCGGGGACACCCGGTCATCCGATCGCACGGGTGTTGGTCGTCCGAGGAGGGTTTTGCTAGTTGTTTTGTTGTTTTTTCTAATGGACAGAGTAGATGATGCCAAAGGAAACTCCTTTTTTGAAACAACGGCATGAGAACAGTGGACATGCACCATTGACAATGGATGGAGAACACGTACGACCTTACTATTAACTCATAAACGTAGAATCCCTTGCGTACTCCAGCATAGCTTTCAATGTACAAAAAACGCCGCAGCGTAGCTGACGAATCTTTCCAAAGATTTCCGGGCTTGGATCCCGAAAGCTTATGTCGAAAGTGGTGACTAGATCCACTGGGTTCAATTGTACTGCCACGTACTGCCGCATCCACTAAGCCACTAAGCAATTATAGTAAAACCAAATCCCGATAGAAAAATACAGTCTAGAATCTAGAATTCGTTGGACGCTGCTTCTATTTACAGCGAGCACTGTGCCTTCTTTGCTTTGCATTCATGCACGGGACCAGCTGTCCAATTTAATGTTTAGCCGCTGAGGCGCACAATGTTCAAGCCCATTCTGCAAATGAAATCACACAGGCATGTTCACAGATTCTACACAAACACACACCCTGACACTGTTACATGCAGTATTCATCTGAAAAACAGAACAATCTGTCCAACCTCACACATCCTCACACATCCTCTTCACAACGCGTTCACTGATAAACATTGGTAGATGCTGCCACTTCATGCCTCCAAAGGGTGGCAGTGCTGGAGATGAGTTGGTGAAGACCTCAGACACCCGACGAGTCCGCTGTGGGCGGCGAGAATTCAGCGGTCCTTCTGCGGTGTGGTGGAAAACCAATAAGCTGGTCGATCACCAACGAAATACCTGGAACTTCCTCAGTGCCGAAACAGAAACAACCACGACGTTGCAGGTATGTCATCTCAACTGAAATGTTGGCCCAAGATGGTTCGATTGATTTGTTGGTTTGAGTCGCTTTATTTCGTGGCCCACTCACGGACTCGAAGATCATTTTCAGATCATTTTAGGTGATGTGAAAATGTGCAGAGAACGACAAAAGAAACAATCCTTTCCAGTTGGATAAGGACATTGATGACTTAAAAACCACCAAAATAAGTTAATCAACTGCTCCCGAAACGTGGTTGGCATCTACATTCTCGGTGAATTTGGAAATATGGGCGTGAATCTTCACCACATGTAGGAATGGAACATTGAAAGCAATTCATTGACTTAATGACGTTGTGACCACAACAGGGGGATAACAAATGTAAGAGTGACCCCTGCGGCATTAAAAAAATACACATAAAAGAAAACACACATTTAAACAAAGTAAACAAAGTAAATATACATTTAAACAAACACACACACACAATCACACACGGTGGTCTTGTTGAAAGCCCATTTGGGACTTCAGTAGGTCGTGAAGTCTGTCGTCGATGCCGCCAGGCCGAAGCTCCAGCCACGGTCTGAGTTCTGGGATGGTCAACTACCAGAGCTCTTCGGGCATAAACATGTTGCTTCGGCCATCGCTACTAGTAGCTTCTCAAGAAGGACCCGAGGAACTCCCTGAGGGTTGTGACTGGGGAACCCTCCCAATGCCATCTGGTTTGACCCCTCGGGAACCTTCAAATGGCCTCGGGTCCCCCGCCAGGCTCAGCATGTCATGTTCCAAGGCCTCGAGAAACCGCATGTCTCTGTGTCTCTGTTCGTGCGAAGCAAAGACAAGACATGGGTGGTCAAGAACCTCACCCTTCAAACAATGGAAGGTTCAGATCCCTCAAAAAGAAAGGAATCTGTTCATTTGACCCGGGGTCAACCAGGGTGACCGAGTTTTGACCCCACAGCCACAGCGACAGCCAAAAGCTGGACAAATCCATCTCGTACTCGGTCGTCACACTTCTACTCCTGGACACCTTGGCTGCTGATACCTTCCGACATGTGAAAAGCTGCCAGGATGTTTACTCGCTACCACACCTGGACCTCTATAGGTAGTATCACCAGCCCAGCCGACCAAATGCGGAAGGGTCGGGGCTCAGCTCTCGGCCGGAAAGTTTGAGACCTCACAAGTGCGGACCTCTTTATTTACACCTGTGGATCTTGGGTCTATCTTGGATCTATCCCATTAGCTGTAACCGTGGATGATGGTTAGTAAAGACCTTGTCCAAAAATAGTGCTAATTGTTTACTGACTGTTACAGGTAAGAACGGACAGACCCTATAGGTGTATTCAAGAACAGTGGATGATTCTTCAGTAGCTGACGGACATCTCTCAAAGAGTGGAGAACTGACTGTGACAGGTTCACTGGGACAAACCCTTAACCATGGCATCCTTTTTGCAAGCAGGCACAGACCCCTTTTCCTAGCATTCTAACCGGTACCAAGAAGAAAGAATCACTCACAAATTTGTTGATGGTTGACTCCCCAAACGCGAAACGGTCACGAAACCGGAGGCTCGCCACCGTCTTTTCCCTCCGACGCCCGTCACGCGGCGGCGGAGTCGCCTGCAGAACGTAATGCGCGGAGCAACCAAAGTGGGTGGAGCGGCGGACGCCCGCCAATCCCAAACCTGGTTGAATGTCATCGTCCGATGTCAAGCGATGTCGTCGAAGACCATGGTGATCGTTCGCAGGTCACGTTCCTCGCGAGAACCGACGATATGAATGCAACGGCTGCCGGCTGCATTCTTGCACAACTCTATGGATGTGGATATGGGATTTGTGGACACAGAGTAGGCTTTCCAGGAAATAAGCTCAGGAAAGTAAATGAAAACCGATCCCCAAAACCCACCTTCTCAGGTAACATTCCCTTCTGATAGGGATGGTTACTAGCTCATTTCGTGAGCCAGCAAGGCGAGTAACTTTTTGCTGAGCCATTGGGCAGGGCCACATAACCATAGGGCTTAGAACGGCTTAGAAGGGGACCGTGATTTAAGTTTACACTCCCAGCCTGAAATCATCATGCAAGTGGAATATGGACCCAGGAAAAAACAATTTTCCTCTACCAACAGGGGGTTGTGCACTTCCATGTGTTGATTGAGGGACGCTTCAAAAAAGCCACACGACGCCAAGGCCACGCGACATGCCTTGATCTTGGGCGATTCGGATGGCCTGCACGCTTTTCCAAAGCACTGCAGGGGTTGGTCGTAAGGAGCTATGATGCATATATGGATGCTGTGGTGTTCAACAACGGACCCAAGAAATGAAGATCGTGAGAGATGTGTGCTTCTTCGGACGATTGACAATTTTGTTGGATGATCCGTCTCTTAAGGATGGCTTGTAGTGAAAACCTCATTGTTTTCCCAGGAGTTTCTCCAATATATTCATTAGACCTCCAGCTGCTGAACTTCCAGGTCCGGCAAACGAATGCAAATAGCTCCAAATCAATCCAAACTATCCATGCAGAAATTCTATGAAATTCTTCAACACTCTTCGATCTCCAAAAAGCTATTAGGTTGGAGGCCATCGCTATTAGGTTTTTATTCTGATATTCAATACTGCTATTAGGTTCTGGTTCTCCAAACTCAATGAACACCTGGAGCGGCTGCGAGCTAAAAAGCGACTGTGCTGCCAGGCTTACCGCAGCACCACAAACACCCAGCACGTCACATCCAGAATATACCTCCCCTCAAAATGATTGGCTCAAATTCCAGATGGAGCTCTGCCGAACTCAGTCGTTTAACCTTTTGTTACAGTAAGAGATCTTGATTTTTTGGGAAAACCCGACCTGCAGCATTATGGCTTTGTCGGGCTCATTTGCTTTGATATGATCGTGAGATGGACATTCCCAAAACTTGAAGACCAGCCCCTCCACCAGGCATCCTCCACGTTTTCTTACTGCAACGACACCCTTTCCTGCTCCTATGACATGTCGAACCGGACAACAGCTCCAATCGACTCCTTCTCCAAGACGACGCGTTTGAGCCCGTTGAGCCCGGCATAGACCCGTGGAGTCCGCGAAGCACCCCGGCCCCGCCTCCTTCGTGGCCTGGGTGGCCACCACAAAGCCCATGCCATCATCGCCGTTGACCCGACAGGCAGACCTGACCGGTCCAGGGGTCGGTCATGGTCGGCCAAGCTGCGGTCGGTGCAGTCCAGCGGTCGGACGCGGTCCAGGGGTTTTAAGGTATGCAGCATACATCACTGTCACAACTCGATACAGAATATACAGCATACACTGTCACTTCTCTGATTCTGTTTCGGTCCCTTGTTTCTACAACCTCCAGGTCTTCAGGTCCTCCGACTTTTTGGAGTGCCCATGGCCAGACCGCCCAGACTCGGTCCCCCGAAACCTTCACGTCTCTGTCTTCTTTCCGGGCCTCCGGACGGAAAGCTTTGCTCCAGCTGCACCATGGGTGTCGGATTCACGACGCCAGCGCGCAGGCGCCGTGCATACCTTGGGCGTCGTCTGCGACGAAGGGTCAGTGCGATGGCAGTGCGATGGCAGGGCCTTGTTGGTCTGACAGGAGCTGACGAGCGACAAGCCGGTACAGTACGTAGTGAAAACTGGAATGTGAAAATGGACAACCATGGAACATACAATGATCAAGAAAGGATATCCCGTCTTGGACACACAGATTCCACATAGTCCTGTACACAGCCACATGGAACCTGGATTTTGTAAGATCGCAGTATCTCCATTGTCTCCCGCTGTGCTCAAATAAACAAAATGCTTTATATATCGCCGTCAGTTAAATTTGCTGCGTATCCTAAGGGATTGATACAAACAAATTTATGTTCCTATAGCTTGTGGGTGCACCAGCTTTTGAGAGGGGTTTGACGATAATGAGATGTTTTCAACTTTGTCAGTCAAATTCAGTCAAGCAGCATTGGCAGGCGCTGTATGCCATGCCCAGATTGGCCTCTCAAATCAGCCTGCGCAGGCAGAGAATCTTGGGTGCCCTAATCAATCAATCAACATGGGAGCCTTCCGGGCCGCAAAGCATTCTGCCAATGTTCAAGCAAAAACCTGTCCTTCAGGTGTAGTCTCCCCCGCATGAAACGCCTAAAAACCACTCAACACCTGGCACATGAAACGCCTTCATCGCCCGCTGCTTCGCAGCGCGGGAGTATCGGCCGCTGCCTCGAAACCTTCGAACGCGTATGTGGAGTCTCCGTGCAGCCTCCACTAAGCAGCGGGCCACCAGGTTTGCATCCTGCTTTGGCAAACGCAGGGCTTCAAACACTGCTGAGGCAAAGGCCTGCGCGTTGATTCAATCGATGGGTCAAGAAGAACCCCAGTGGGGTGGCTGGAAGAGAAACCACATTGAGATCGAGTTGAATTTGTGTCTTTTAATGGTTCCTGTCCGTGAAAAATTCAGGCTTTGCTCAATCCATGGCCACATGCCACTTCAGTTCTTAAATCCAGAATGCATGGGGAAGTCTCTTGAAGCCTCTTGAAACAAGACCCACTGTGCAGATTGTACATGTTCCAAAGATAGATTCTGACGGAGATTCTCGGAAAGGAAACTGCTCTTGTTCAGTGAAAGAATCTGACAGCAGCAGGACCCACAGCAGTGGAGAAACGAATTTCAACCCCTCTCATGCCTGGACGCGGTCCTTCTTTGTGCCTTATCACTACTTTGTTCCCACTCAGTGTTTGTTGAGCCTATTTAAGAAACAAACAAACAAACAAAACAACACACACCGGTCTATCGTAATGTTGGATCCTGATTAGGGATCATCCCCAAAACAAAATTGGGAGGTCCTCTGAGTCCTACCACCAAAACAAATCCGGATTCCTGGCTGGATTCCTTTTTTAATTGATTGTAGTATTCCTTTTGCTTGGATTCCAATTCATAAAAATGTTCCTTTCTCAGGTTCTTTGTAATTAGATATTCTCAGCAATCCTTTTCCTCTGCAGCCTCAGATCTTCAGCTAAAGAAGCCCTCAGCACTCAAAACAATTACGATAGGATCCCCAAAACATAGCATAATAGAGGACCACTTAGAGGACCCTTAAAACAAACATGGGGTCAAGAATTATGATTGAAATAAAAATTTAGCATCATAGAGGGCCCCTTTACTCATCAGGATCCAACATTGAGGTTCCTACCCGGTACCTACCCTGCAAATTACAGAAAGTGGTGTCATTCGAATTGATTCAGGTTCCAGTTGGTTGTTGGTTGTTGGTTGACTACACATGTCAAAGAGAAGAGAAGGCACACATTTGTCTGTCCACTTAAACTTAGAGAGCGGGTGGTCATGGGGCCTGGGTTTTGGTTTTCCCAAAATTTTAGGTAAATGCTTCAGTGGCAGCCCCTCTCCATATAAACACATATAATCTATTCCTGCTCTGTCTATATGAACAAATATATTATGTATTCCTGAGTCAGGGTCATGTTATTGTTTTGGAAGCAGCAATCAGTCATTCAGATGGTTTTGAACTAGACAATTAGGAACGAAGCAGGCCATACAGGTGTTTATTTTATCAATTGTCCTCTAGATTTCTGCTTATAATTATGTTTAGATTTGGAAAGATTGTATATAGACACTTTGAAGGTAGCAACAAATGCAACCAATCCAAGAAACAACCTCACGAAGTGTCGTCTCGCGTTTTCCGGTTTGGTGCGGTCTTTTCACACCAACGTATGCATGGCTCAAGCGTCGTGACGTCGCCCTCCCATCTTAGGAGGTCGGGGGTGGAAACAACCAACAGAGGTTGAGAGCTGCTATAATCGATTTATGCAACCCCGAGGCTCTATAGTTCAATTTTGCGCTGGTGAGGATGCTTTGGTATACGTCGCAAGGTTTGTATAGCCTGGGTATGCCTGGGTGTTGCGAGCGAAAAACGGAAAAAGTTATGGCATCTCATAGCCTGCGCCGTGGTTAAGTCATGGCGTGCAGCGCGCAAGGCGTGTGACAATTTTGGGCCACGGCGCGTATCAGCGCGCATCCTCCCACGCACCCGGGCTGCCCCGCAATTTTATCTTTACCTTCCAAATTAGATTGCGCAGTCTTCTCGCGCGCTTCTTTCCTGAGTGCGCCCATCCACGCCGCAGCGCGAAACGACTCTACCTGGAAATTTGGAGGCTTACAACTGGGCCCGCCCCATGCCAAGCGCGAAGCACTTCTCCTCGACCAGCAAATTCCCTTGCGCGCTCTTCTTGGCCACCCGGCAGGGCTCCAGGTGGCGTGGGCCAACCATTTCCGGGCGATGGTATACGCATGGGCCACAATTCACAGCGGCGGGGAATGGCAACTGCTGGTCTGTGGCAGTTTGTCGTATAATGTCGTATATATATATATATATAAAAATGTATATATCTATACATTGCCCCTCCGCTGCCATCCATCGGCACTAAACAATGGATATTATATTGGATTGATGAAGCAGGAAACAGACGCCGCACCACGAAAGAGCCAGCAACTACGAGGAACGCTGGACGGTGAAGTCAAAAACCTGCATCGCAAACAGCTTTTTAATGCTTAAGCGCGCAATTGTTATAGACAAAATGGAAAGGGCAGCAACAAAACAGGCCTTGCGCGTGTATATTGGTGAGCGTGCAGATTAAAAGTTGTCGGCAGGGTTGACGTATACAGGGTCTCATTTTGCAGCGCAAGCTAAAGTTCTATATAGACAGTTTCTTTCGCGTTCCAACTCGTGCGCGACATGGTCATGGCTGCGCGCGTGGAGTATTGTAATAGGCTGGCTTTGGTATTTTCTTTCCCGATATTTAATAACACACGTCGTCAGTGGCCCATGCATCGCGCGCGAAAGCAAATCTTGGCCGCAACTCACAGTTCTCAGTCCCAGAGCTCCAGGCTTTCTCTCTCTCTCTCTCTCTCTCTCCCTCCCTCTCTCTCATCTCAATGGGCACTTGCCCACGCGGGCCCCTTAAAGTTTCACGCGTGTGTGTGGACAACTGGCCACAAGACGTGGCGGGCGCTGCTTCACGAAATTCACGAACTGTTCACGCTTCAGAGGCTTTATAAACGATTCTTAGCTACAAGTTCACGAAATTTCACGGCTCGCATGTCTGAAGGGGGCCTGCGCTGGGTCTCAAGCGGACTTATTTGCGGAGCTGCAAAAATACACTGGAGACCTATATATTTCCGACATGGGCCTCATGGCCCTCTGCCCCCGAAGCGATCTTCAACTCATTTGCATGTTTCCAGCGCAGTAGTCTCAGCAGCTCGAAAGCACGAAATTCATAGCCTTCAGGGCGGAATGGAAGCATGAAATTCGTGGTTTTCTGCGCCAGCAAGGGGCCATGAATTTCATGGGTCGTGGCGGGCAGACCTGAGCAGATTGAAAGTGCGAAATTGTACGAATTTCGTGGATTTGCATGAATTTCGTGGATTTGCACGAATTTCGTGGATTTGTGCGATTTCGTGGATTTGGGGCGCAGGTCAGAGCGCGCAGATGCAGATCGAAAGCATGAAATTCATGGTTCTCGGCTCTCGGGGAAAATTTCACGCAGGCAGGCCCCGCCGCTCGAAAGCATGAAATTCGTGGCTCGAGTGAGCTCCCAGAAAAGAAAGGCATGAATTTCGTGGGTTTTCGGAAATGGAAAAGTGAAATTCGTGGTTCTTCGCGCCAAACGAAATGATTTCATGGTTCTGGGCGCGGAACACAGAGATCGAACGCGTTAAATTGCCACTCGTGGATTTGGTTTTCTGCGCCCACAAACCATGAATTTCGTGGGCTTCGGGCGTGCGGCAATGAATGATCTCACACTGTTCGAAAGCATGGCGTCAAGCCGCAGCGTGGCGCCAAGCCATGATATTTTTTTGGTCGGTCACGACTGCTGGCCAACAGTTTTCACACACCTGGTGCATGGAGGCTTCCGACTCGGCAGCTCGAATGTGGAATTTGCCAGTTCGGTAGAGGGGCAGGGCCAGCCTGATGTTCTCGGCAGGCGCGACTTTGAATTTCATTTCACTGTTTTTATGGCGCGAGGATGGGGCAAATCGTGCAATTCCACACGCGCAGTTTCGACGCAACGTGCCAGCTGCGCCCGCGCAAAGTCCATGAGAATTATATGACATTTGCATTTACACTGGAGGCGGGTCACCATATTGCACTTTTGCTTATAAAAAGCATTTTGATCGCACAGAATCCAGCAAAACATTGCGAATGCGCTACATCCAAGCATGTCCAAACCAACCCGCCCAGGTATAGCCTGCCCAAATTGATCTATAGAGGCTCTGAATTTCACGATCTATAAGGTCTCTCAACCTGTGTTGGAAGGAGCCACGTGCCAGCGGTCGTCGAGAGCTTTCCTCAGTCCAGCAACCTTGGTTTCAGCATGTCATGGAGTGACATTCACACTGGTGGAAGAGGAAGCTGGTTCAAAGCTCTCGTCCATGTCGGGCAACAAATCCTCTCCAAGCTTGCTTCCACAAATCTTGCAAGGTCGAAGAGTGTAGGTGATGTTCGCCGTTCGACCACGGGCACACTGAAAGGATGCATGCCAGCATTCACCTGCTTCTGTGCGGTAGATGTCTCTGCCGACAGCATTCCGAGCGCGGTTGCGAGTGCGCTCTTTGAGCTCCTTCTCGTAGCGAAGCCGCATTTGCTCAAATTGGAGGTTGTGGACTTCGACCATACCTTGCAGCTTTCTGGTCATCTTATTGTACATGTCCTTGTGCTGGGTGTTCACCCACAAGAGCTGCTTCTTCAGGTCGGAAATCTCATTTTCCAATTCGCGCTCTCGGCGCCTCAACTGTACCAAGGTGAGCAGAGGGCGGTCTTCGTCGGTCTGGGCATAGTTTTCCTCGAACTGAACCAAAGAAGGCGGCTCAGTCTCTTGTAGCTGACCTTCGTCGGTCAGCTCCAGCACTGGGGGTGTGGACCTCAAGGCCGTCCAACGGGTGGTGATGCAGTGCCATAACAAATGCCCAACCATTGCCACAAACAATGTAAACATTGTAAGAAACATGAAGTTGTAAATGTCAAAGTTGTCATTGCCGTTGGGTGGAGGTTCTGTGGAGTGCGCAGTGGAGGTGGTAGCTAGAGTGACAAACATGGCTGCGTTCAGCAGCTCTTTGGACTTGGGAACTGCGTAGCGCATCTGGTTCAAGCGCCGCTGGTCCTTCTTCGAAGCCGTGAAGCTTGCGTCCGGTCGCAAGCACGTGGTGTGGCTTCTGAGTCTTTGAGCTAGGAGGCCGGCTGCGGCTTGTGTTGTCATGCCGTCAGCGTACTGCAGTTCGCTCGACACCCAAGCTGTTGTAGCACCTGTACAGGAAAGCTTGTCTCT